CGCATCTGTCCAGACCCCTTCCTCTTTGGGAACCCCTCCCCTGCCCCCACAAGCTTCCTCTTTCCCATCACATCCTCCGGGGGGCCTTGGGGGAGTTGATAGCCTCTCATTGTCCTGTTTCCGCCCCAGGAGCTACTCCAGGCCAGCCCTGTCCTGCCACTCAGTGGCAGGTGGTGGGTGCCCCTCTGCCTGCCTCATCCGTGCAACACACCCCTCCCCAGCAGATTCTTGTGGCTGTATCTGGGCCTGGCAGTCAGAGTTCCTCAGTCACCAGAGAATCAAATGGGACAGCCAGTGGTGTTTCTGGAAGCATAAACTATCCCCAACCTGAGGCCCTGCACCCACCCGCCTTGTCTCAGGCAGCGCTCACTTCCGCAGCCCTGACAGGAAATGGGCTGGAGTCTCAGCCTCCCGCCATCTCAAGGCAACTTCTTGTTTCCCTGTCACTCTGTGCCAGCCCTGGGGTTGTGCCCTTGTGCTCCACCCCCCAAATCTTCCCAGGGCTCCATCCCAGTGGCTCAGAGGGGCTGAGATGGTAGACATGATCGCCAAACTGACCAGGAGGCAGAGTAGGACCCTGCGGACACAGGTAGGGGACGCTGGCTTTAGGGGTAGCAGAGGGACCTCTGGGGTCTCCTCTTAGGAGCCGGGTAAGCTGGGGCTCAGAGCAGGGAGTCTTCTGGAGATTGGGGTTCATCTCATCTTTTATTTTTTTTCTCAGAGGCCCAGCCTAGCTGAGAGGTGGTCAGTTTGGGCAAGAAAGGCAGAGGTGCTACCTGCTTGTGGACAGGGGAGGGAAGTAGAGACAAGGGACATGCTACTGTGAGGAAGTGCTTGGGGTACTGGCAGTCTAGTGTGGCAAGAACCAAGGTCCCTTTTGGCTCATGCTTTGGCCTGAGGTGGGGAGGCCTCTTGTCTCTAGGATATGACCCAAAAGCTTAAGAGTGAGGTCTCTATTTATGGCTGCATCTGGGTCTTGTCTGGACCTCCATGAGCTGGGGCAGGGGTGTCAGGTCCTCCTGTAACCACTTGAAGGCTGGAGGGTATAGAGGACCTAGCCCCAGCTCTGGTCTCCAGGAGCTGGTCAGAACCCAGCTGAGTTTCTGCTGAAAGAGGAACACAGCTCTATCTTAGCACTGTGGGGGTCTATGGAGAGTTCTAGAGTTGAAGAGACCTCAACAATGCTGCAGCTCAGCCCCTGTGGAGGGCTGTAGAATCCCCAGCAGGAAGTGGACTCTGTTTCCCACCTCCAGCAAGGGCCCCTCACTACCCCAGAAGCGGCCTGTGTCTGAGGCAGCCCCAGTCCTCCAAATGCTTCCTTCAGAGGGGTGCAAGTGCATCTTCTCTTCCTTCTGACAGCCCCATCATGGTGGGGAACTGAACTTCCCCCCTACCAAATCTCCTCTGTGCCAGGTAGGGATATTCCTGTGTGTAAGTCCCATCAGCCCCATCAGCTTGGGAACCCCTGTGGACTCAGAGCCATGGCCTGTAGTCTGCCAGGTGACAATCTCTGTTCCAAAGAGCCCAGCTCCCTCATTGGCTCATCTATCCCCCATGGGCCCTTGCAACCCCTGCCCCAGGGATAAGAAAGGCCACTGACTCAGTGAGTCTAGCTGGGGTAGGTAGGAGGTGTGTCTGGTTCATCTGCCTTCCTCTATCCCCCGCTTCCATCCTGACCTCCTGAGAAGTCTCTTAGTTTCTGTAGTTCAAACCTTCATTCTCAGGAAATTCTTGCCCAGAGCTCACCCTGTCTCTTCTAGAGTGTCAGGTGTATTTGTGTGTTTGTTGCTGAATTTTGGCATGAGGTTGAGTTGTATACTCAAGCAGTTAAGTGTTTGGGGCAGTTCTGCTGTCTGCTCTGGGGTATTGGGCCAGCTTCTAGGGGACAAATGGAATCAGCCACATCATCTTGGGTCTTGGTTTCAAGAAAATCCTGCCTTTGGGGGCAGAGAAGGTGGGCAGACAGGTAGACAACTGACCAGCAAGGCAGAATGCCACTGGGCTCTGATGAGCAGAGTGCCAGCGGTTAAGCCCCTCCCCAGAGAGACTTATAAGCTCAGTGCCTTGGAGGAGCAGGGTCTGGGTAGGCAGGGATGAGAGGAGGAAATTCCAGGCTGAGGGAGCCATGGGAGCAGCTGGAGCAAGGCACGGAGGTAGGAAGATGCCTTTTGTGCTGGGAGTGGTGAGTAGCCTACTGTGGTTGAACTGCCACACGGCACCTGAGGGCCATGGTAGGGAGAGAAAAAGAGGAAGTGGGGCTTGGCACCTGTGGCTCAAGTGGCTAAGGCACCAGCCACATACATCTAAGGTGGCGGGTTCGAATCCAGCCCGGGCCCGCCAAACAACAATGATGGCTGCAACCAAAAAGAATAGCCAGGCGTTGTGGCTGGGACCTGTGGTCCCAGCTACTTGGGAGGCGGAGGTGGGAGACTCACTTGAGCCCAGGAGTTGGAGGTTGCTATGAGCTGTGATGCCACAGCACTCTACCCAGGGGGACAGCTTGTGGCCTGTCTCAAAAAAAAAAAAAAGAAAAAAGAGGAAGTGGCATAGAGGGTCCCATCTCTGACATTCAGGAGCCTGGAAGGGTTAGGGCAGTGGTTCTCAACCTTCCTAATGCTGTGACCCTTTAATACAGTTCCTCACGTTGTGGTGACCCCCAACCATAAAATTATTTTCATTGCTACTTGAAACTGTAATTTTGCTACTATTATGAATCATAATGTAAATATCTGATATGCAGGATGTATTTAGGCGACCCTTGTGAAAGGGTTGTTCGACCCCCAAGAGGTTCGCAACCCACAGATTGAGAACTGCTGGGTTAGGGGAAGGAGTAGGAACTGATAGGCTGGTGTCCCCAGCTCTCCCTGCCCGGTGTACCTGAGACCAGCACAGTGTCTGACATTCTCATGCCCCTGCTTTGACTGTTTTTGCTTTCTTGCTGAGCAGTGATCATCACTGGCATGCCGTGCATTCACTTATCAGCCCCTGACACCACCATTTACACTCATGTGAACTCGAGAGTCAGCCCCACCTGGACAGGGATTTGTGTCCATTTGTTCATTGCCTGGAATAGTCCCTCACCCAGAGCAGGCACATCTTTGTTGGACGAATGGATGTTTTTCTTCTCTCTCTCTTTTTTCGCATCAGTTTGCTGAAAAAACAAATAAATGTTTTTTTCAGGCTCCTGCCTAAGACCCAGGCAGAGGCTACCTTGAGCAGGATATGCTTCCCCCTTGAGGAGTTTAGAGTTAGTGAACATGTCACAGTCAATAGAGGAACTTCTAGGATTTTCTAAACATTTTATTGTATGAAATTTTGAGGCTGCAGAAAAGTTTGAAGAAGAAACAAAACATAAATATAATTGCTATGATCGTACTGCTCAGAGAGGAACCTCTGTTAGCATTTTGGAAGGTTTCTAAAAACACAAAAATTTTCCCTTGGGCATTATGTATTCTTAGAGAGCAGTATTAATCTCTGAATGCTGTTCTGCTGCTTGGGGTTAAATAATGTAGTTATCTATCCCTCTGGTGGCCTGAGGGTACTGGGCCACAAGTTGGTGGCACATGGGAGGAATCTCAGGAAAGGTTTTGAACATGGCACCTGAGCTGAGTCCTGAATCAGATATGAAAGGGGCAGAAATAGGACAGGGCAGGCTGTAAATGAACCAGACCTGCAGGAGACACAGCAAAGGGCGGGGACCTCTAGCAACTGGTGCTACTGGAGCTTAAAGTTCAAGGCAAGGGGCAAGGAGTGGCAGGAAATAAGGTAGAAGCAGGGGCAGGCAGTAGTGGCCTCCTATGCTTGGTTAAGGACTTAGACCTTGCCCTGCAGCCAGCAGGGAGTCCTGAGGTGTGAATCATGTGATAAACATGACCAATCTCACACTCTGGGGGACTGAACCCTGCAGCCACCCTCACTTTCTTTTGGAGGGGAACAGGGCTATACCTCTCTTTGCCTGTTCATTTTCTAACCCATCTGGCTATCAGCTCTCTCTCATCTGGAATTGATTCTGACACCTGCAAATTCCACATTGAAAAATTCTAGCCCCAAATCCAGAGGCCATGTTTATTCCAAACCCAGAGCTTTCTAACTGGGAGGGAAAGGGGGGGGGGTGGGAGCTTTTACTAGGGACTATAGAATGCACAGGGCTCTGGATGGGGACCACCAAAATGTGGGTCCCAGGCCACTTCTCTGTTACTGCCCAACATCTTACTTGCCTCTGTGACTGCATAGTGGTGAGATCTGGGTTATTGGTATTCTATTATTGGTTTTTTTTCCTTTTTCTTTCTTTCTTTTTTTTTTAGAGATAAAGTCCGGTGTCACAGCTCACAGCAACCTCCAACTCCTAGGTTTAGGTGATTATCTTGCCTCCCGAGTAGCTGGGATTACAGGCGCCTGCCACAACACCCGGCTATTTTTTTGTTGCAGTTTGTCTGGGGCCGGGTTTGAACCGAACACCCTTGGTATATGGGGCCGGCATCCTACTCACTGAGCCACAGATGCCACCTGGTATTCTATTATTGTTAATAAATATCCATCTAGGGCACTAAATACTTTAAAAAACATTTTCAAAAACGTTTCCTTATTATCTCTCTCTTTTTTTCTTTTTTTGAGAGAGTCTCAATCTGTTGCCCTAGGTAGAGTGCCATAGTGTCATAACACAACAACCTCTAACTCTTGAGCTCAAGCAATTCTCTTGCCTGTTTTTTTCTATTCTTAGTAGAGGTGGAGTCTTACTTTTTGCTCAGGCTAGTCTGGAACTTGAGCTCAAGCTATCCACCCACCTCCCACTCCCAGAGTGCTAGGATTAGAGGTGTGAGCTATCGCATTTTCTCTTCACTACAATTTCTGTAATGGGCAGAGCAGACATTTTATACCTGGGGAAACTGAGGCAGGAAGGCAGTGTGACTTTCTGAAGGTCGTCAAGTGGCAAGTAGTAAGTCAGGACTGTGTGACCCCACGGGTCCTCTGAAAGTCTGGTACCCTTCCTCCTCCCATAGGTGGATGAACCCGCAGAGCCCGTGTATGCAAACATAGAGAGGCAGCCTCGGGCCACTTCGCCGGACACGGCCAAGACCCCCCAACCCAGCCCAGTGTGGGAGACACACACCGATGCTGGCACCGGGCGCCCCTACTACTACAACCCAGACACGGGCGTAACAACCTGGGAGTCGCCCTTCGAGGCTGCAGAGAGTGCCGCTAGTCCTGCCACCTCCCCGGCCTCGGTGGGCAGCCACGAGAGCCTAGACACCGACTGGGGCCAATACTGGGATGAGGAGAGCCGCAGGGTGTTCTTCTACAACCCCCTGACGGGAGAGAGAGCCTGGGAAGACGAGCTTGAGGACGAGCTGGAGATGCAACCCAGCCTGAGCCCTGGCAGCCCCAGGGACCAGAGGGTGAGAGGCTGGACGACCTCTTAAAACCCCTCGGTCCTGCCTCCTGCTCCACCTAGACCCCATCAGGAATGGCGAGGGCGAGGCTATCTCTGAGATCCCTCTGACCCCGCCTCCTGTTTCCCACAGCCCGGGGTCCAAAGGTCCGGGCAGGGCCTGGGTGGGCGGGGCTACATCTGGGAGCTCTCTGGCCCCGCCTCCTGCTTCCCAGAGTCCCGAGGGTGAGGGGCGGGGCTATCCCTGAGAGCCTCTGGCCCCACCTCCTGCTTCTCACAGCACCAAGGGCCAGAGGATGGGATGGGCCAGAGTGGGCGGGGCTATCTCTGAGACCTGGCTATGCCTCGTGCTCCACCCTAGCCCCAAGGACCCAAGGGAATGAGGGTGGGTCTGGTACAAAAAGAGGGGGCCATGAGGCAGCACTGGCACTGAGAGCCTCTGACTCTACCTTCTGATCCTTGCAGCCCCCCACCCCAGAGACGGACTACCCCGAGTTGCTGACAAGTTACCCAGAGGAAGATTATTCCCCCGTGGGCTCCCTCGGTGAGCCCGGCCCCACCTCACCCCCCTTGACCACACCCCCCGGCTGGTCTTGTCACATCAGCCAGGACAAGCAGACGCTTTATACCAACCACTTCACCCAAGAGCAGGTAGGGGCAGTGGGTAGATGGACCCAGTCATCCACGGGTTTGCATCCCTCAACTTTCTTTACTAGTAGTTCCCCTTAGTACTCTAAACTGCAGCTCCCACGAGGACCCTAGGCCAGCCCAAGACATGGAGTCACCTGCATCTACCCCTCAAAGCTCCCTGGTGCTGTCCTGGACCCTGCTTGGAGGGAATCTTTTCTTCTTCTCTCACGAGCTGGACAGGGGCCCTGATCACCCCTCTCCCCACAGTGGGTGAAGTTGGAGGACCAGCACGGGAAGCCATATTTCTACAACCCAGAGGACTCTTCCGTCCGGTGGGAGCTGCCCCAGGTAAACAACTGGGGAAAGGAGAATGCTAGAGAGAGAGGAAGAGACTATATATGACAGCATCTTTTCTCTCTAGGTCCCTGTCCCTGCCCCTCGAAGCATCCACAAATCTGGCCAAGACAGTGACACTCCAGCCCAGGCCAGCCCCCCAGAGGAAAAGGTAACAGGGTTGGCATGAAGGCCCTGGCAGGACTGCCCCTGAAGAAATGGGTTTCTGGAGATTCTGGGAGCAAGGACTGGGTGAGACACATCTGTCTCCTCCATAGATCCCAGCACTACCTCCCAGGGGTGAATGAGGTTTGCAATTGGGAGAAAATCTCTCCTGTGACAGCTGCTGTGGGCTGCCCAGGAGGCTGAGCTGGTGACGAAAGTTTGATGAAGATCCAGGCTTAGCCTGCGGGGAGTGAGAATGAGGGAAAACTAGCTCCTGCCTCCCCCTTACCGTCCCCATGGTTCACCCTCAGAACTATCCCCTCTTTCCCTTTCTGTCTCTTAGATCAAGACACTGGACAAGGCAGGGGTGCTCCATCGCACCAGGACAGTGGACAAGGGAAAGCGGCTCCGGTAAGCACCTATCTGCATCTACAGCAGGGCAGGGTGGGCTTTAAAGATGACATTCTGGCTCGGCACCTGTGGCTCAAGTGGCTAAGGCGCCAGACACATACACCTAAGGTGGCAGGTTCGAATGCAGCCCGGGTCCGCCAAACAACAATAATGGCTGCAACCAAAAAATAGCCGGGCATTGTGGCGGGCGCCTGTGGTCCCAGCTACTTGGGAGGCTGAGGCAGGAGACTCGCTTGAGCCCAGGAGTTGGAGATTGCTGTGAGCAGTGAAGCCATGGCACTCTACCCAGGGGGACAGCTTGAGGCTCTGTCTCAAAAAAAATAATAAAATAAAATAAAGATGACCTTCTCTTCCCATGTGCCAAGACTCTCACTAATCTTCATAGTGACTTCATAAGAGGTCCTGTGAGGAAACAGGCACTGAGAGATTAAAGTGCTTTGCCTGAAGTCACTTGGTCACCATGTGTTAGATTTGGGAGTCCACCCCTCAGAGTCAGGTGCCCTGGCCTGTGTTCCTAAGCTCTGTGCCCTACTCCTGGGGATGACAGGGGGCCCTTAGCATAGGACAAAATCGAAGTCCTGCCCAACTCTGCTTCCCACACCCATACAGGAAGAAGCACTGGAGTGCCTCATGGACAGTGCTGGAGGGTGGTGTGCTGACATTCTTCAAGGACTCAAAGACCTCAGCTTCGGGTGGCCTGGTGAGGCCCAGGCCCCCAGGGCAGGGACTACCCTGTCTGTTCTTGTCTGCTCTGGCTTAGAAAAGACCAGCCTGAGATAGGTGCATGAGTGCCAAAGGAGTTGGGCTTTGGCAAGGAGCAGGTGATGACAGCAGATTCAATCCCAGGACAAGCAATTGTGGCCACCTTGGAGATGGAGAGCAGTCTCTGAGGGTGGACAGCCCCAGGCTGGAGGATAAGAAGGATGGGGGAGGAAGGGCTAAACACTCCTGCTTACGGGGATGGGGGCTCTGCTCCTTCCTTCCTCTCCTGTATGGGCAGACAGCAATGGACAAGCCAGACAGCAGGATCTCTGGGTTCTAGGAATCCTTGGGATTCTTTCACTCAGAGCTCTTGCCTGGCCACACCAGTGACCCAAATCATGTCCCTAGATCCAGGGTGCTGTAGCGGGCCCATCTGACCTGAGGGCTTCTTGTGACCCTGCCCCCAACCCTCCCTGTCCCACAGAGGCAGCCTTCCAAGCTCTCCACCCCTGAGTACACAGTAGAGCTGAAGGGGGCCTCTCTGTCCTGGGCACCCAAAGATAAATCCAGCAAGAAGAATGTGCTGGAGGTGAGTGGTGGGATTGGGTGAAGGAGGGAAGGGGCTTCCTAATGTCCAGGGACCCTCAGCCAAGCCCCAAGAAGGAGGACTTGGAAAGAGTTGGAGCTAGAAATCTCAGGGCTCAAGGCCAAAGCTGGCCCCATGTCAGGGAACTGTCCAGGCTTTCTGACATCATGGGTTTTGCAATTCCCTCTCCAGAAGTGGAGTTAACAGTTCTTGCCCTGGAGGATGGTGAGAAGTAAAGGTCTCTGGGAGATGGAACTCTGTCCCACCTAGAATGTCAACCCTCATCCCAGCCTGAAACAGGGACCTCCTGGTCCCTGGCTGCTTACTCTGACAGGCTGGGCTGGGAAACCTGCTCTTTTTCCCCAGGTCCCTCCCCCTGGCCCAGAGCCCAGCTTCTGACTAGACTGGGTCCGCAGTGAATAAGCCAGGACAGTGGACACACCTCTCAGCCTCCCCAGCAGGAAGGGAGAAGGGAGAGAAGACATAGGCAGGGGTCCTCCCAGTGCCACACCCTTCACTGTCCATGTGCTGTCTTGTTTTAAACTATTCCTTCCTTTCACCTCAGTCCCTATATTTTGAGACAGGTTACAACAAAAACACATGTGGTAAACTAGTAGAACTAGGACCAGGCAAAACAAGTGAAAGATAGGCTGAAGGTGGAGAGGAATTAGGGGCACATGATATCCAGGTGCCAAGGCAGTGGTGGTAGAAAAAAGTTGGCTCCAGTTTTCCTAGTAGCTAAGGTGAAAAGAGAAGTCCTCTCAGTTACGTGGCTCTTGTTGACAAAATAATAATAAAGCCTACCCCCAGGGTCAAAGCTTCTTCCTAACTCTTAGCACAGCAGGTCTTCCCGAGGACCCCTAGCCACAGAAAATTTCAGTATCAGTCCCCCTAAGAGCCGCTAGAACTCAGTTTGCCTGTGGGTTCAACAGGATGCATGTTTTGTGAAATACATTGCTGTGTAGTAATACAGCTCTGGCTTCTGTATGAAACTTTCAAATGTGAACTGGTTGTGTTTTGAGAGAGCTTCCAAAAATAATACGAAGGTTTTTCAGAAGTGGTGTGAGACTGTTCTTTGGGGTGATCCCCACCAGGGTTGAGGGGGCTGCCTCTGAAGGGTCTCTAGTATCTTCAAGGGCATGTTTTTCTTTTCTTTTTCATTTGTCTTTTCTTCCATTTGTAAAGCAGTTTAACTAGTTTTTATGTATAAGTTTAAAAGGAGGGTGACCAAAACACAGTGCTCTCTGATTCTTGAAGGTGTTCCCCGTTTGAGACTGTTTCTGCTGCCTCTGTCACTCAACCTAAAGGGCTGGGTTGGTGTGAGCTGCCACAGCCCAGCATTCACATTAACCTGGACTATTTGGTCCTCAGAGCCAGAGGTTGACCAGGGACCCATCCAAGCTCCCATCCACTGAGAAAGGGCTTTGTGCATCAGGCTCGTAGCAAGTTTCCCTCCAGTGTTTGTTTAATTTATGCTTCTCAGTGAAGTGGGCTGAAAGAGAATGTGTTGCCCAGGCTGGAGTGTGGGAGACAGAGGGTGGAGACTCCTGGCTGCAAAAAGTGGGTAGGACAGCACTCTAGGTCCTCTGTATGCATATGAGAGAGGGCTGGGGGCGGGGCACTCACTTTCTCTGGGATCACCTGTGATCTGCTTTCAAATCCTCGCTCCCTGCATTTCCTTCTCTGTTCATTCTAGTGGCCGGGCTCTCCCACAGCAAATTTCTTTCCTTTGGTTTTCTGCAGGCCAGTGTTCTGGGTGAGGCCTGCCATGGCCCATGGCCCATCGCCCATGGTGGGATAAGGCAGGGAAAATGCAGCAGACAGTTGAGCCATGAAGATCTGTACTCCATGTACAGATCTGTACAACCACTAGCTGTATTACCATGCCTCAGTTTGGTCATCTGTGACACAGAGAAGCAATCACCCACTGCTTTAAGTGAGGCAGAAGCCCTTGGCCTGCAGTGAGGCCCTGGCTCCATTAGGCTCTAAATTACTGGGGGTAAAGACAGATCTCCTTCATCTCTGTACTCACCCTTCTCAGGGTCAACCCTCAGGGAAGACCCAGGGAACCAGAGATGACCCAGTGACTTGTATCCCTCCAGCTACGGAGCCGAGATGGCTCGGAGTACCTGATCCAGCACGACTCAGAGGCCATCATCAGCACCTGGCACAAGGCCATTGCCCAGGGCATCCAGGAGCTGGTAAGCAGAGCCTGAGGGCTCTCGGGCCAGTGGGGAGGAGTGGCCAGCTATTGTGGAGGGCGTCTGTGCCCCCTATGGGACACAGAGAGCTAGCTCTGTGGCACCAGTGGGTAAGTGTCATTCCCTACGTGGCTGGGATGTCAGAATAAGCTGCTAAAGAAACTGCCTTCTGTGAGTCTGTAAATCCAGCCCTGGGGTGGCCCAGGTAAGGGTGGGGGCATATCATCCTAGAGGAATTTCCCACTTCAAGGGAGGCAGGAGGAAAAGTAAATATTCTGGGGACCAGCTTCAGGCTGGAATGGGCAGGCTGAAACTAGAAGGTAAAGTTTAAAAATATTGATTTCAGGAGTTGGCCATTTCTTAGTTTCAAAATATCAATGGCGTAAGTAGAGATAGGGCAGGTCCCTTCTGGCAACTAGTGAACTGGAAATGACCTGGGGCTTTTTGACCCATAATTCCGTATGAACCAACACCGGGTGCAGTTTTTTGGGGTTATTTTTCTTTGTTTGTTTGTTTGAGACAGAGTCTCACTATGTTGCCCTGGGTAGAGTGCTGTGGCATCATAGCTCATAGCAACCCATTCTCTTGCCTCAGCCTCCCAAGTAGCTGGGACTACAAGCACCTGCCACAACACCCAGCTATTTTGTTGTTGTTGTTGTTGTTGTTGTCATTGCTGTTTAGCTGGCCTGAGCTGGGTTGGAACCCACCAGCCTCGGTGTATGTGGCTGGCTCCATAACCACTGTGCTATGGGCGCCAAGCCACTGAGTGCAATTGTGATAGAGGTAGGAATTCAGAGCCAAGGAGGTGATATTGGTGCAGTTATTGATAGTGCTCTGGCCCTAGCTGGAGTTAGAAGCTCAGAACTGGGAGCCACATACTGAGAAACGCTGACCTAATGGTGTGCACCACAGGAGCTGAGGAAAATACGGGAAGAGGGGGCCAGGCACTGGAAGGTGGGTAGGGGAGAACAGGATGACTGGTTCCAACACCATTAGGGCTCCGGGCAGCTAAAGGAGGCTAGTGTTCTGAGGTTCCATAGCAGAGGTGAGCAGAGTTAACCTGGTTAAGGAAAGAGAGACGGGTTTGGGGGGGCATGCCTGCTAGGAGGGCATTTCAGGCTCCTCACCCCATCCCAGAAAGGAGCCCCCGCTGACCCAAGGCCCTGCCTCTCTGAAACTGTGTGATTCCAGTCCGCAGACTTGCCCCCGGAGGAGGAGAACGAGACGGGCAACGTGGACTTTGGGTCCAGTGAGCGCCTGGGAAGCTGGCAGGAGAAAGAGGATGATGTGCGACTGAGTACAGGTGGCACACGGCGGGGTCGGGGGTAGGGGGAACAGGGGTAATCAGACCTCCCCGGGAGACCTCTCTTGGAAGGTGATGACTGCCCTCTGGGGCCTGCTAGACCAACAAACAGATGCCAACAACTGATTCACACAGTCCCACTTCCTCCTGCCGCAGGAGCACCCGCTCTGGGTCCCGGGGGCCTGGAAAGCGACCTAAGCAAGGTCCGGCAGAAACTTCGCAAGTTCCTCCAGAGGCGGCCCACGCTGCAGTCGCTGCGGGAGAAGGGCTATATCAAAGGTACCGGGACACGTGGCCACGGGTGGCTCGGGTGGCCTGGGCGGCGCAGGGCAGGGCCGGACGGCCGCTGGGCGGTGCTGACTAGCCTCTCCCCCAGACCAGGTGTTCGGCTGCGCGCTGGCCGCGCTGTGCGAGCGCGAGAGGAGCCGGGTCCCCCGCTTTGTGCAGCAGTGCATCCGTACCGTCGAGGCCCGCGGTAGGTGGGGCGGCGTGCTGGGCGGGGCATTCGGGCGCCCAAGATCCTCCTGCCAGGACCACAGGATGGAGACCCCTGGGTGGGTGCTGGGTTGAGTGGAAAGAACGGAAGGCCCTGAGTAGGTATCATAGTAGGAGCGTCAGCCTCACCCAACCCCGCCCCGCCCCGCCCCGCCCCGCCCCGCCCCGCCCCACTCAACCCAACCCAACCCGGAGCTAGCTCCTCTTTCTGCCCCAGGGCTGGACATCGACGGGCTGTACCGCATCAGTGGAAACCTGGCCACCATCCAGAAGCTGCGCTACAAAGTGGACCACGGTGAGGCCTGTCCCCTGTCCCCCCTCCCCCGCCCCCGCCCCAGGGCCTCAGGGCGCAAAGGGGCACTGACCTCCTCCCTTCCTCTGGCTGCAGATGAGCGCCTCGATCTGGACGACGGGCGCTGGGAGGACGTGCATGTCATCACCGGCGCTCTGAAGCTCTTCTTTCGGGAGCTGCCCGAGCCCCTCTTCCCCTTCTCTCATTTCCACAAGTTCATCGCGGCCATCAGTGAGCACCTATGGGAGATGGGGGCAGATAGGGGAGGGGTGAGGCTGTCCTGCCTTGGGCCACCCACTCAGCTGGGCTCTGAGCCCTCTCCCCTCACTAAGCCCACCCTCCCTGTCTTCCTTCCCCGTCCAACTCCCTCCTGACCCTTCCCTTGCCCAGAGTTGCAGGACCAGACCAAGCGCAGCCACTGTGTACGGGACCTGGTGCGCTCACTGCCTGCCCCCAACCACGACACACTGCAGCTGCTCTTCCAGCACCTGTGCCGGTGAGCAGGGCAAACGGGCAGGAATGGGGAGGCAGGTTCCTGCAGGACCCCCCACATTTCCCTTCAGCTCTGGGGCTTGATTCCACTCGCCCTGCTGCAGGGTGATCGAGCACGGCGAGCAGAATCGCATGTCAGTGCAGAGTGTGGCCATCGTGTTCGGACCCACATTGCTCCGACCAGAGGTAGAAGAAACCAGCATGCCCATGACCATGGTGTTCCAGAACCAGGTGGTGGAGCTCATCCTGCGGCAGTGCTCAGACATCTTCCCCCCTCACTGATTGCGGACTGGGGACTGGGGGCCACTGGAGGTCACCCAGCTGGACTTTCTGAGACCCTCTGCCTCCCACCTGTCTGCAGGCAGGTGTGACTTCTGTAACCCCTCGGTTCTGAGGATATGGTGACCCCTGGTGGGCAGTTCACAAAATGTGATCCCCCCCACCCCGCCCCCACCCCCTGGGCATGTCCTATTTGGAGGTTAATTGGATTCTGTTTTCTATCACAGAGCGGTCTACCATGCTTGTGGGGGAGTATGTATTCGGGGAGTTTTCTGGGAGGGACCATGCTGGAATGAGAAATTTAGTGAGGGGCTTCCTAGTTTCTTCAGGCCTTCACCTCAAAGAGGCCTTCACTGAGACCCATGGGCGCCAGCCCTGTGGCAGTCATGAAGCAGCTATGGCAACTTCCCTGCTGTAGAAACATGACTGCCCAGGCCTCCAGCTGAACCCACCCTCCTTAGGCTTCAGGGATGGCTCCTGCTGATCCTCTGTCAGGCTGGCTGTGGACCAGTTTCCTGTTCGGGTTCAGTGTTTTTGCCCTCCCTGACTCACCTGTGTTCTTTGCAAGGGTTCTTTATGTTAGCTAAATACCCTGAACCTCCAATTGAAGTGCACCATTTCCACACACCATCCCATTTTACAGATGAGGAGACTGAGGCTTGCAGAGGCAAGTGATCTATTCAAGGTTCAGTAAATGATCTGACTCCTCAGAAAAGTCTCTTCTCATCTTAGAGCACAGCCTGAGGTCAGGGGGATCAATCCTTTCATCTATCCACCCCTAACCTCCAGCATGGGCCTGTGAGCTAAGCAAAAGGACTAAACTGTGTGTGTTCCGTCTAGGCTGGAGTAGGTCTCTGAAGGGAAAGAGGAAGCCTGCCCCAGCTGTTTTCTCCTGGGGGAAGGAGAAAACACTGTAGGAGCCCCCCAGCTTTTCTTGGCACTCTGCCAAATATGCCCACCTTGCCATGAAGAGCTGGGAGAGGCTACAGGATTGGGGGGCAAGAGGATGAAACCTCAAGCCAGGAAGTGTGAAGCCTGCCTTCAGCTACCCCTTCCCTCCTCAGACAGGAGCCACCTCAGCGAATGGATCTCAGCCTCCAGCTCCACCCACCTGTTCATTTATTCAACAATGACAGCTAATATTTATTGGACATTTGTACCATGCCAGGCATTTTACTTGGATTATCTCATTTGTTTGTCACAGTCAATATTTATTGTCTGCTTTTCTGTGCCAGGCACTGTGCCCTGGGGTGAGGAAGAGTACATCTGGTCTGGCAGGTGAGGCTGACTCGTGCCCACCCCCAGTGCCAGCGGGGCCAGGGCAAGAGTACATGGAGACCTCATACCAAATGTACAGACATTTAAAAGCTATAAATCAAGCTAACAACTGTTAAATAAAGTATGTTCTATTCTCCTACTTTGACAGATATGCTTTCATAATGACCTAAAAGGCCAGGTTCTAATTTAAACTTCTTTGACGTCTAAGTTCCCTGCCAGGATGGTTGGCATAAGGAGAGCTGACCTGGCCTTCAGCCTGCCCCCTCATCTTCCCACCCTCAAAGCCATCTTGCCCCAAGGAGAGGTTCACATGCTCACATGTGAACACTCCAGTCCATGTATGCAAACCATTCATACCTCCTGCCACCAGCTGCCTCTTGACCACCCTACTGGTGACATAGTTGACCCTTGGAGGGAATGGGTCTGCATCTATTTGGGCAGAACATTGTGGGGTACCCCATACTGGGAGCATGGTCTAAAAGGGAGGGTCTCGCCTTTGAGAGGGCTCCACAGATTCCTCATCCTGGGAGCCATAGACAGAGAAGGTCCCATGGCAGGGACCCCTGTCAGTCGGGTCTAAGGGTGGACCTGGACAGATCTTAACCAGCCAATTATTTGCTTCACTGCTGTACAAGAGTTAGCAGTACAGGGTGCTCTGAGGTGTGTCATGGGGGGACTGTTGCCCAGGGATCCAAGATGCCTCTGCGGAAGCCACGTTTGAGTGAAGGGGTAAAGAATGAAGAGGAGTCAAGCAGGCAAGGAGTTCAGGGCCGGGTGTCTAGTCAAAGGGAAGATAGCATGTGCGAGGCTCTGTGGCAGGAAAGCTTGTGGGGAGAACAAGGTCTGAGAGAAGATCATCATGACTGGAGCCCAGCAAGCCAGTGGGCATGGGCACCAGGTGAAGCTAGAGAGCTGGCAGGGGACAGAGCATGTGGGGCCTGTGGCTGAGAACTTTGAGTTACCAGGACAACGAGCTGAAGGATCCTTGAGTGGAAAGTTCTTTCTTTCTTTCTTTCTTTCTTTCTTTATTTATTTATTTATTTTGTGAGAGTCTCACTCAGTTGCTTTGGGGTTGAGTGCTATGGCGTCATAGCTCACGGCAACCTCAAACTCTTGAGCTCAAGGGATTCTCTGGCCTCAGCCTCCCGAGTAGCTGGGACTACCGGTGCCTGCCACAACACCTGGCTATTTTTAGAGATGGGGTCTTGCTGTGGCTCAGGTTGGTCCCGTGAGCTCAGGCAATCTACCTGCCTCAGCTTCCCAGAGTGCTAGGATTACAGGTGTGAGCCACCACACTCAGCCTGAGTTCTTTTTTTTTTCTTTTTCAAGTTAATGTTAGGGTACAAACGACCAGGTTGCAATATTTTCACATGTTAGGTAGAGTCCCTCTAGTTGTGTCCTGCGCCTAAAAGGTGTGCCAATACACTTACCTTGTGTCCAGAGTGCTGAGCTCTTGGGAAGTGTCTGCTCCCCACCCCTACCCCCAGCTTCTGACTCTGCCAAGGCCTCCTAGGCAAATAATGTAGCAGCAGGCAGAGAGGTCACATAGAATTGTCACATTTTATCACAAGGAGGAGCTTCAAAAATCACCCACTGCCAATGAGAAAACTCCTGGAGAGACATCATAATTCACCTGCACTCACTGGCAGGTCACTGGCAGCATCTGGCCCCGAGCTTCATTTGCAGTCTGAAGACTTACTGTGCACCCCACCAAAGTGTGAGGCATAGCAGATGTCCTTGACACTGAGCACAGCACGTGGTGAGCACTGTAGGTCCAAATCTAAGATGTTCTGAATGAAATGGACTCTGTTCAGAGACACAAAGGCATGTAGAAACAATATCAGCTCTCTTCAGTCCTTGCCTGGTTGGGGAAGGGAAATAAAAAGGAGTGACAGTGGCACAGCTGATAAGGGCTGCCATGACCTCTCCCCAAGCCAGCAATCTCCCAGCAGATGCCCCTAAATCCTCCTGCAGCCTGGAATCTGTCCCTGAAACTACTTTTGAAAAGGCTAAGGGGGTAGCTAAGTCTGGTGGCTAAGTCTGCCTGTTGTCCTCCTTGGGACACATGGTTCCTTTGCCCAAAGCAACATGGGTCCTCCCCGTCACTCCACTTCTCCCTTCCTCAGCTCCCCCTCTTCTGCCCACCCTATAAATGGTGATGCCCTCCAGATCGTGCCCTCCTTGAGGAGGACTGGTGGGGACTCAGCCAGCAACAAAATTGTTGACCTGCCTGCAACAAAATCCCCAAACCAGCTTTCCCCCCTATTTCTGAGCATGGCATCCCCAGTCCCCAAGTCTTTATCTTCTATCTTCTAAATATTTCCCAGCTCTGCCTCTTCCATCCTCTCTTGATCTCTCTCCTCTGGTGAGCACAGCAGCCTCTAGAAGTGCTCCTCTGTGGCTCAGTGCCTGTAGCTCAGTGGCTAGGGCACCAGCCACATGCACCAGGGCTGGCAAGTTCAAACCCAGCCCAGGCCTGCCAAACAACAATGACAACTACAACAACAACAACAAAAAAAATAGCTGGGCATTGTGGTGTGCGCATGTAGTCCCAGCTACTTGGGAGGCTGAAGCAAGAGAATCACTTAAGCCCAAGAGTTTGAGGTTGCTATGAGCTGTGACGCCATGGTACTCTACTGAGGGTGACAAACTGAGACTCTGTCTCAAAAAATTAAAAATAAAAATGGGTTGGCACCTGTAGCACAGTGGTTACTGTGCGAGCCACATACACCAAGGGTGGCTGGTGGGTTTGCATCTGGCCCAGGCCATCTAAACAACAATGACAACTGCAACAAAAAATAGTTGGGAATTGTGGTGAGCACCTATAGTCCCACCTACTTGGAAGGCTTAAGCAAAAGAACTGCTTATGTCCAAGAGTTTGAGGTTGCTGTGAGCTGTGATGCCACAGCACTCTACCAAGGGTGATATAGTGAAACTCTGTCTCAAAAATAAATAAATAAATAGGGCGGCTCCCGTGGCTCAGTGAGTAGGGCGTTGGCCCCACATACCAGGGGTGGCAGATTTGAACCCTCGAACCCAGCCCCAGCCAAACTGCAACAAAAAAATAGCCAGGTGTTGTGGCAGGTACCTATAGTCCCAGCTACTCGGGAGGCTGAGGCAAGAGAATCAATTGCCTAAGCCCAAGATCTAGAGGTTGCTATGAGCTGTGATGCCACAGCACTCTACCGAGGGTGACAAAATAAGACTCTAACAGTAAACAAATAAATAAAATGAAATGAAAATAAAATAAAAGTGCTCCTCTTCCTATTTAATCTTCTGCCCAGCAACAGGCTAACCACACATGTCCCCAACCTCTGCTTACCAACAGTGCCTGGGCCTATCACTCCCAGCACATCCAGGCTGCTTCTTCCTCATTCCTCCTCCTCCTTGAAGCCTCGGGTCTCCCTGTGTGCAGCTCCCTCATCTCCCTGTGTGTGCTCCCTCGCTGGACACAGCTGTGATTCCATCTACTGCTCCCCACTAGGAGAATGGTTGCAAGACTCATCCACATTGCAGCTGGTACCATTACCCTATTCTTTTTGTTGCCAAATAACATTCCATCAAATGGCTATATACCACATTTTGTTTAACCATTCATCAAATAATGGACATTTGAGTCATTTCCGCTATTTGGCTATTATCAATAATGCTGCTCTGAACATGTGTATACATGTGTTTATGTGGACATATTGTCTTAGCTTGGACTGCCATAACAAAATGCCGTAGACTGAGTAGCTTAAACAATGAAGATTTCTTTCTCACAGTTCTCGAGGCTGGAGTTCACGATCGAGTTGCTAGCATGGTCAGGTTCTGATGAAGACCCTCTTCCTGGCTTGCAGATGGCAGCCTTCTGGCTCCGTCCTCACATGGTAGAGAGATAGAGCTCCAGTCTCTTCCTTTCTTTATAAGGACACTAATCTCGAACCTGTGAGCTCAGGCAATGCACCCACCACGGCCTCCCAAAGTGCTAGGATTGCAAGTGTGAGCCACCGCACCCGGCCTAAGGACACTAATCTCATTTTTACAGTCTCAT